CATGGGGCAAACTCAGCTCCAAGCTTGAGGCCTTTTTTTTTTTTTCTGAAGGATGGCTCACTGTGTGCAAACAGGAGTGAACCCCCAGGGCTGGGTCTCCCAGTGAAAAGCTCTAGACCTGCCAGTCACTGGGGTTGGTCCAAGGGCTCCCTCACGGCACCCAGGGGAGGTACAGGGCAGGCAGGCATTCTGACAGGTTGCACTCTGGGAAGTTTGGGAGGTTTTTGCTTCCCCTCCCTACAAGCCTCGTTCTGTGTACTCCACGTGCGGCGGGTAGGAAGGGAGCCGTGTCTTCACCTGTCATCAGTTGCCAGCATGTGAATTCCAGCAGCTGAGGGTTCAGCAAAGGGCCCCGGGATGGGCATGGAGGTGGCCCCTTGGACGCAACCTAAGCCCCAGCCCTGCCCTCTTGGTCCTACTGGGACCTGACCCTGGGATAGGGGAGGTGATCCCTTTGTCAGACTGCCAGTCCTCACCAACCTCCCAGAATGGTGAGGAGTTCAGGAGAAGGTAGCCCACTACCCAGAAGGTCTCCATCCCTACCCCCAGAGCTGGGTTGAGGGACGCTTCCCACTTGCCCTTGCAGTCCTATGAGGACCTGGTCCAGCGACTCGAGCCTGTCATCATGGAGCTGGAGCGGCAAGAGAACGTGCTGGTCATCTGCCACCAGGCTGTGATGCGCTGCCTCCTGGCCTACTTCCTTGACAAGGCAGCAGGTGCGGACGCTGCCCCTGGGGAGGTGGGATGTGTGTGTGAGAGAGATTGAAGGGTCTGTCACCTGGGCATCCCTGGTGCCAGCCCTCTCCGTGTGTGTCCACAGAACAGCTGCCTTACCTCAAGTGTCCGTTGCACACAGTCCTGAAGCTGACCCCTGTGGCTTATGGTAAAGAAGCTTCCCGCATGCTGACCTGGTTGCCAGACTGGCTGTCTGCAGGGTTCTCTGGTTTTCTGCAAGCCCCTCCCTTGAAAATTTCATTAGAGGCTCATTCCTCCTCCTTCCACCCCACCACCTTTCCCAATTTGCTTTAAAATTTTTTTTGTTTTAATTCCTATGGCCACAGGAAGCCTCCCCAATGATCCTTCCTTAACCATCACCCACCCACATAAGGGGCTTTTCTACTGGTTTCTCCAAAATCCCCCAGAGAGCCCCACAGCCCCCAGGACCCAGACCTGAAAATATGCGCCTCTGCCTTGGGCTCTGCCAGCAGAGGCCTCTGGCAACTTCCTGGGTCCCGACTCCTCCCCTTCAACACTGGACGAGGCACTCTCGCATGGTTGTGCCCTCGGGACAATAACTGTATAGCTCAGTGGCAGCTGAAGTCATCCCAGTGCATGTTAATCGCCTCGTCCCCCTTTGCACTGAGCGCCTGGCACCATGGTGATCCCGCCTCGTGTGTGAGGCAAGGCTGGGTGCGGGTCTGCTCAGTGCAGTGACCCCTCACTGAGCTAGGCTTGTTGCTTCTCAGACCGCCCTCAGCCCCCGAGGTGGGCCGCTCATCCTCACTGTGGCTCTGCCTGGTGCCCGGGCTCCTCAGCGAGCCTGCGCTGGGCAGTGGCCCAGAGGCTCGGGCCTGACACGCTGCCTAGTGCTTCCTCACGGGGCCTCCGGAGCTGCCTAAGGTGGGAGGACTGGAGTGAGGCTGAGGCGTCTGCTCAGCCCCACAGCACCGAAAGCCTCCTCCTGGGAGAAGCTTCTACCCCTGTGGCTCAGCTGCCTTTCAGGAGGGGGAATGGATTTGCATCTTCCCTTTGGCAGGTTGTAAAGTGGAGTCCATATTCCTGAATGTGGCGGCCGTGAACACACACCGAGACAGGCCTCAGGTAGCAGCTGGGTCACTGCTGGGGTGGTGGGCATGTTCCTGGGGGTCCAGACACAGCAACCACCAGGGCCAGGCCCAGCTGGGGCACCTACTGAGTGAGCTTGAGTTCTCTGTCAGGGTGACGCTGTGGCCAGAACACAGGCTAGAGGCCTACAGGGGGCAGGCGCTTCCATGTCCCACCAGCCCAGGCCTCATGAGCACCTGTCCAACTTGAGCACCTATAAAAAGTAAAAATGAAAAATGTCCTGCTTTGTTGCGGAAAGGGCCATGCAGAGGCTGAGGGTGTCTCGGTGCTGCGTAGAGACCTTCCTGCGGAAGGACACGTCTCTGTTCTGTGTTCCCCCAGCGTTAAAGATAGAAGCTCCTTGAAGTGTTGCCCAGAAGCACTTCATGCCCGTGTGGGATCCTTCTGCCATGTTGGTTTCCTCTCCCACTGAGGCCAAGAGCAGGACCGCCCCTCTGGGCCCCATTCCCAGAGTCTGTTGCACCAGGAAGGCTCCTGGGACCTTAGTCATGCCTGCTGCCACCCACAATGGGACGTGCTGGGCCTTGGGTCCCTGCCCAGGGTGCAGGCCTTGGGCCCCACAGGCTGAGGTGTGTGGATGTGTCCTCCTATTTCCTAAGGCTGCTTCCCCTCACCAGAACCAGTCATTGTGTAAACCTCTTCCCTGTTTGCCCTGAGAGTCTGATGCAGGCCCAGTCTGGCACACACAGGTCTCAGGGGAAGATGTCCCAACAGGCCCCTCGTACTGAGGAAAGCCCAGAAGGTGTTGGGCCCCCAGCACTGACGGGATGATGGTGAAAGAGGCCCCTGGACCCAGCAAGCATCAGGGGCTGGTGCCCCGGTCCATTTGCAGGAGCCAACATGGCCATGGGGTAGTTGGCAGGCACACTGCCTGCCTCTGGGTAGGCACTTCTGAGAGGCAAACTTCTGTTGGCCACAGGTTCTGGGATGGTTCCTTTTAAGGTGGGCAGGATCTCCAGGTCCTGGCCCATCCTTGGGGGCAGGTTGTGGTGAGAAAGGGGCCCTTGGGAAGCCTGCCCCCAGTGAGAATTGCACCTGCCCCTACAATTCCAGTGGTCAGCCCTGTGAACTCAGGAGTGTGGCCATAAGGGCCATGATTCCCTCCCTGCAGATCTGGGCTGTGACCCAGGACATTGGTGACCTGCTCCATTGGGCCACGAAGATCAGGGATCACATAGGATCACATAGTCTTACAGAGTTGAGGGGAGTCTCTGACCCCCATCCCTTAGGCCTGAGATGCCCTGAACTCAGCCGGCTGTGGACAGAACTGGGCTCTGCAGCTGAGGCAGGGGAGGGGTGCTGTTCAGGAGGTGCAGGGGGCCCGGTGCCCCAGCTCTCAGGGGACAGACCAGGCTGCAGAACAGGAGGTGTCCGCAGGCTGCTGGGGCCATATCTGACACCTGTCCACCGACATACCGACATAGCCGGGAGGAGGGCACCCTCAGCAGCTGGTCCCCTTCCCAGCCAGCTGTTCCTCCCCACCTGACCCAGACCTGAGGCAGGAGGCGGGGATGGCCTCACTCTGGGTAATGCCTGACCTGCCTGCAAGGAACAAGCAGGAACTGGAGGTGTCCTCCATCCCCCACCTTTGTTCTGTTGTTTGTCACCCACCACGTTGTCAAGAGGCTCTTGACCCCTGGCTCTTAGGAAAGGTCGGGGTCTAAGTCCTGTGGCTGGGGCTCCTCGGGGTGAGAATGTGAGTCCAGCGGCCATAGCGTTGAGCAAAGCAGATAGTGGTGACTGTCTGTCCTTGGCAAAGGGTCAGTGTTCTGTGTGTTTAATTTTGTGCAGAATGTAGACATCTCTCGGCCTCCGGAGGAAGCCCTTGTCACGGTCCCTGCTCACCAGTGACTGTGTGTCGTCCACTGCGACCCCCGGGCAGGTGTTGATCTCTGCGGGCGAGGTCATTCCAGGCCCTCTGGTCTGTGTGACAGTCACCACACAGGAACACCCTCAAAGCCTTGCATGGCTGGTGGCACCCAGAATCCCAGTCCCAGCCCACCTGTTTCCTTGTTGACAGTGTCAGGGTTGTATGCGGTGCCCAACTTGCTGCTAAAACCCACTTGGCCTGACTGCGTCTGCACCGGGCTGGTGAGAGGTTTCCCAGCCCCTGATCCTTCTGTTCTCTCTCACCGGTCGGGTGGGCTTTGTGAAGTGTGAAACCCAAAAATGTGAAATGGAAAGCACTTGCTGTGATGTTTCCACCCACTGAGGCCGAGCTGCCTGGGTAGACCTGGGGACCCCTGCCAGGGCTCTGCTGCCCTCTCTTTGACCACTTCCTGAGCCAGAGGCAAGGTGTTCATGAGCTGCTGCTGCCTCAGTAAGCGGGAAAGAGCCATCCCTATCCTGCCTTGCCAGGAACTGAAGAGCTTCCGCCAAGGCAGCCACCTCCACTGGACAGACCCTTGGGTCCGTGCGTCTGCATTTGTGGACGCTTAGGAAAGCAGTGTGTTCACTTCAGCACATGGGAATGCACAGAAACATGCAGGGAGCGGGGTGTTTGCGATTACCCCTTCCCAATTATGCCTACACTGGAATACTCGTGGGAGCTGGCAGCCAAGGCCACCCCTCTCCAACTGCTCTCGTGGTGCAACACGTAAAGAAAGACGTGAAGACGGGACAGTTGTATGAGTCGCCCTTCCCAGTGCTCAAGGGAGAGGCTGCCCTCCCATCTTCCTCTCCCGGCCATGCCACTGGGCTACCTTGCCCGCTGCTGCCTGTGTCCACACAAGAGTGTACACTGGTGGCAGGGACCTGCATTTGCTGTGAAGGATTCGGAAAAGCTTGCATGGTCCTGCAAAGCCTGTCCTGGCGTTTGTTGACCTCTACCCATGGAACTAAGCATGGGAAAGCCCAGAGCTGGAGGCAGCTTCTGGCCAGAGCAGGAATTTCCCAGCTTCTGATTCTTTTTTTTTTTTTTTTTTCCACATTTGGTTGCCTGGGGTCTTAGTTGCGGCAGATAGGCTCCTTAGTTGCAGCATGCATGTGGGATCTAGTTCCCTGACCAGGGATTGAACTCAGACCCCCTGCATTGGGAGCATGCATTCCCACCAGGGAAGTCCCACCCCCTTCTGATGCTTGTTGAAATAAATTTAAATTGACAAGCCTTTGTCAAATCCCTACTACAATCAAGGCACTAGGCTGCTGATTAATCCCATTGATGGGCTTCATAAGGGTGCTGATCCTTCACCTTCAAATAATGGCAAATCTGATACCCGTGTCCCCTGCATCGGCAGGCGGACTCTCAACCACTGCGCCACCAGGGAAGCCCACCAGCTTCTGATTCTTGTACACAGAAGCCTGATGAAAACGACCCCGGGAAGCCTGCCATCTGTCACGCCCCTGAGTTCTTTTGGGCCCAGGGAGTTGCGCTGGGCCGAGGGTTCCGGCTCCATTTTGTAGCTGGGAGAACAGGCTGGCCAGCAAGTTGTGAGGCTGGGTGAGGAAGCGTGTGGATTTGTAGTTGCATGGGCTGCTGTCCACAGGTGGTGGTCCTTGGTGAAGCCAGGCCCCAGGATCCTGTGTCCCTGGCCCAGGCTGATGATCTCTCGGCCTCGAGTGCCACAGCAGTTATGTACAGACATGGGTGGAGAGATATCCAGGACAGAGCCGTGGCAGTACCCTCCTTCTGGACTTATCTCCTGTCAGAGCCCCAGGCCCCTTAGACCCAGGGCCAGAGGACCACGCTACTGCCTTTGGGATGTGGGGACTGCAGCCTTTGCTTCCATGTCCGCCAGAGTATTGGTGACTTTCGGTCATGCTCAGTTGTTGGCCATAGCAGGTCCCTTTGGTCAGCGGCATGTACATCTAGATGTCACCACCTCTCCAAGACCTCAGGCTGGCTGAGGTGAGACCAGCGAGGCCTTTTCTCTCTATCCAGAGGGCAGCCAGGAGCTACTGGAGACGTGTCACAAGGACTGGGATGGGGCAGAGGGAAGTCTGGGATCCCAGCAGGGCTCACCCGGAGCCGGCTCCGCATGGGCAGCCGTCCACCTGGCTGGCTGCCCGGTTGTAGCCGGGACGGTTGATGTGCTCCTGTTGCAGACATGTTTCCTGCTCGCCCTGGAATGGATGTTGTTGGATCTCAGCCACATATCACACTGTGTCCAACATTCTTTGCAATAAATACTTTTTTAAAAAAGAACGATCTAAGGTGTTGTGTGGCCAGCTCGCCCCTGGTGAGGTTCTTTCCAGCGGCTCTGCAAACCCCTGTGCTGTGCTCCCTCCCAACAGGTCTGTATGGACCCTTGGTCCAGCTCCCTCCCCCATGACTACCCATCCCTGGAGCGGAAACTGTCTTGCCCTGGAGTGAACCCTGGGCAGGGCCTGGGTTTTCTCTGGGCTGACCAAGGTTGCTGGGCCCTCACCACTGAGACAGAAACAGACGTAGGGGGGGATCTGGGGTCCCTGGAAATGTGGGTCCCAAATACTGGCATCCCTGGACAGGGGAACCAGAGGCTGGGTCGAGGATGGAGGGCCTGCATAAGGCTGTGGGTGGAGCGTGCTGCCTGATTCTCTGGTGTTCTTTGTTACTTCTGGCATGGGGAAGGTGGTGACAAGAGGCACCCTTTCCTATGCCTCGGAATTTTTTTTTTTCCTTTTGCATTAAAAAAAAAATTTTATTGAAGTACAGTTGTTTTTTTAAAAAAATAAATTTATTTATTTATTTACTTTTAATTTTGGCTGTGTTGGGTCTTTGTTGCTGTGCGCAGGCTTTCTCTAGTTGTGGTGAGCGGGGGCTACTTTTCCTTGTGGTGCGTGGGCTTCTCATTGCCATGGCTTCTCTTGGTGCAGATCATGGGCTCTAGGCGCACGGGCTTCAGTAGTTGTGGCTCGCGGGCTCAGTAGTTGTGGCTCGCGGGCTCTAGAGCACAAGCTCAGTAGTTGTGGTGCACGGGCTTAGTTGCTCCACGGCGTGTGGGATCTTCCCAGACCAGGGCTTGAACCTGTGTCCTATTGGAGTATAGTTGATTTACAATGTTGTGTTAGTTTCAGGTGTACAGCATAGTGATTCAGTTATACATATACATGTATTCATTCTTTTTCAGATTCTTTTCCCATATAGGTGATCACAGAATATTGAGTAGAGTTCCCTGTGCTATACAGTAGGTCCTTGTCATCTATTTTATATATAGTAGTGTGTATATGTTAATCCGAAGCTTCTAATTTATCCCTCCTCCTCCCCATGCCTCAGAATTTTGTTGGACTTTTCTTCTGCCCTGGGGCTGGGGTGTTGTAGGGGTCTTCCTCCATGGACATAACATTGCTGGCATTTGCCTTTCCTAGTGTGTCAGGGCAGAGGGTGGCTGTGTCACAGTGGATGACAGGAACCCCTTGGGCTTCATCCCCAGGCTCAGAGGGATATCAGCTATGACTGTCTTCCTGGTAGGTGAGGTTGGGGGATCGCTGAATGGTCCCCATCCTGTCTCCGGGCACAGAGTTCCTGGAGTGGATACCTGACCTCCTTAGAGGCTTCCTTGCACTTTCTGAAGAAGGTTTTGAAGATTTTAACAGCAAAGCAACAACAGAAGGAATGAAATGTAACACTATCAGAATTTTTCTTCAGATTCACTGTTCTACTGCAACCTAGAAAGAGCGATTATATATGGTTAGGCTGAAGAATTTTGTAGCATTTTGGGTTGCTAGGAAACAGTGGCCATCAGGTAGGATCAGAGGATATTTGGATAGAATGAAATATTGTTACAAAGACATAGGTTTCAGCAGCATTTAAATTATATTTATAATATGGTTGTATATTATATATTAATAAAATATAATTATCACCTGTAAAGGCGAGTTGCTGTTTTTGGTTTAGACCAATCATTATTCATCCCCTGGGACTGGGCACATTGCTGTTTAAACAAAAACTGTACTATTAAAAGTGGAAAATGGGGTAGACCAGAAGTGGTATCTGTCAAACTCTGGCTAATGGCCACAGGTCTCTTTGGGAAGGGTTGTGGGGAAATTACCAGCATGAAGCTGGGCTGTCTTCACAGGGCCCACCTTAAAGGGCACCCACCCCACTTCCGTCAAGGGCCCCTGGGTTTGTGAACTGATCTTATCTGGAAAATTGGAGAGAGATCCTATCCTCTGCAGTCAGGTCTCTGGTGGTCAGCCCTCTAGTTCTTTTGTCATACACATCCAGTAGGGCTCTACTGGCCTCCCCATCACTTTTTGTCTTAGGGGCCTGGTGACCCTGCCAAAGATCCTGGTATCTGCATTGAAATCAAGGAGGCATTTCAACTGTAGTGTCTCCAACCAGAATCTCTGACCCATGGACAGCTGTGACTATGGTACTTATGGGTCAAATTGTGTCCCCCAAATTAATACATTGAAGACCTAACCCCCAGTACCTCATAATGTGACCTCATGTGGAAATAGGGTGGTTGCAGGTGTCATAAATTAAGATGAAGTCATACTGGAGTAGGGTGTGCCCCTAATCCAAAATTCCCCAGCAACTTCAGAGACAGCATGGATCCTGCTGACATCCTGGCTTCAAGCTTCCAGCCTCCAGAACTATGAAACAGTAGGTTTCTGTTGTTTGAGCCACTCAGGGTGTGGTACTTTGTTACAGCAGCCCTGGCAAATGGAAACTTCTCAGCGATGAACTTCCTAGGGCCTTGGTGAAGGACTATGTTCTGGGTCGTGTCCAGGGACTCAGGGAGAAGGTGAGTTGTCCCTGATAAATTCAGTCCAACATTTATTTTGAATGAATGAGTGAATCTTCCTGAGGCCTTGGGTTCTTCATTACACCAGAGAGCATTTGGCATCTCAATTGCATTTAGTGAGACCCAGTTTTCATTTCAGCCAACCAAATAGACAGGCAGAACAACCCCCAGTAGCTAAAGCCTGCACACTGAATCCAAAGTTCCTGGCAAGCTCACCTGCATTGATGAAGTCCAACCTAACTAAGCTGATGTTCTTATCTCCATGGTCTGGGGCCTCGGTCTCCCCCGCCGCCCGCATAGTGTGTATATTTTAGCTAATGTAAAACACCAAAGTCTTAAATTCTTTTGATACGTAAGCCATCCCCTCTGGGTCTGACTTTGTAATAAGGTCTCCAGACATGCTGGTATCCACCTCTAGTTTAAGGAGCTGGGGACGAGGGGCATTAGAAGAGTTGACTCCCCTTGCAAAGTAACTCCCTCACGAGGTCTTATGGGAGGACACCTTGCTGAATCAGTGGGCAAGGGAGGTGGAGGAGGGCTGGAGGTTGGTTGCAATCTGATTGCTCTAATTCTTTCATATGCATCTTCATTTCACTTAATTCATTAACACATTAAGTGCCTACCATGTGCTAAGCAGTAGGAATATAGCAGGAAGCAC